TTCTTGAAAGGTCTTCTTCCTCCATAATTATTTTTCTTGAAGTGTTTTTTGAGATTTCTACTAAACATTACATAACTTTTATCCTCACTGAAGTTTTCATGTTCTTCTTCATTTAATGAGGCTTTGAATGCAATTCTACTTTTCTTTTTATTTTTAACATCTTCATGTTCTTTCATGGTGATCTCATGAGTCATTAGGGAACCCATAAGCTTATCCAATCCAAGTGTGGAGAGATTTTTGGCTTCTATAATGACCATGTCCTTTGCTTCCCAATTCTTTGGTAAACACCTAAGAATTTTTCTCATCAACTCACTATTAGTATAAGTTTTGCCAAGAGATTTCAAAGAATTTACAATTTCAATAAATCTAGTAAACATACTTGAAATAGATTCATCAGAGTTCATTTTAAACAATTCGTAACTATGAACAAGCATATCAATACGAGATTCCTTCATTTGGTTTGTATCTTCATACATTACCTCAAGTTTGTCCCAAATTTCTTTTGCCGAATCACAACTTGAAATTTTATTATACTCCTTAGAGTCTAATCCACAAATAAGGGTGAGTTTAGCTTTAGCATTGACTTGCAATAATATATGATCTCTCTCATTACATTCATCTTCAGTTTTAGGTACACTAATATTGTCTACTAATTTGGTAGGAATTTTTGGACATTTGGTGACAATAATCCACATGGCATAATCAGTGGCTTATAGGTATAGGATCATCTTATCCTTCCAATGATTATAGTTGTTTCCGTCAAACAATGGTGGCCTATTTGTGACTTGTCCTTCAGCTAAGTTTGCCATGGATCAAAGCTCCCAGATGGTTCAATCTAAAACAAGAGTCTAGACTCTGATACCAATTATTACCCAAAAGACAATATAAGAAGGGGGTGAATTAGGTTTTTACAAATAAAATAATAATACCCTAATAAAAATTATGACTAGCACAATAGATAAATATAGTTAATGAAATAAAAATAATTAAAATAAGTGTTTTAACAACTATGTCAATTAATGATTTTAGCACAATAAAAATATGAAATATAGTTATGGCAATTTAAATAAAATAAAGAGATACGGGAGAGAGAGGCAAACAAATTTATAGTGGTTCGGCTTCAACTCGGCCTACGTCCACTCCTCAAGCTTTACTTGAGATTTTCCACTATTCTCTAGCTTCACATGGTGCTAGCAACCTTGTCACAGATGGAGCAATCCTCCACGGATTTTACACAGACTTTCTAATTCCAAAAAACACTGAGAGTACTACACTCTTACAGGATTTAAAAGAAGGTGTTTTTGCTTTCACAGAAAGTTACAAGAATTATCTCTCAAAGATAGATATAAAAATGAAACTCTGATTTTTCTGTAGTCTTCACACAGGAAAGATAGGTTTAAAACTATTCGACTTAATGTATAATTTTTTAGAGAGGATGTAAACAAAAATTGAAAAACACTTCTCAGAAAATTTTTTAAAGAATAGATGTGAGTGATTATAGATAAAAGAATATTTTCTGATTTTTTTTGTAACTTGTTTACATTAGAGGCTTTGGTATATATAATGAAACTTATAGTCATTTATAGCCGTTGTATTCATTTGAATTTATAGCCGTTGTATTCATTTGAATATCTTCCACTCCATCATTACAAATTTGAATATCTTCTACTTGAACCTTTTGAACTGCTACTGTTTTTGGGCTGTTTGAACCTTTGTTTTTGGGTTGTTTGAATCTCTGTTTTAAGCTATTTGAACTCCTGATTTAATGAAATATTAAATACATTCTAACAACATTTAAGATAAAGGTTTAGGTGAGAAATAATGGGACAAAATAAATTTTGATTCTATTTTTCTCTTTCAAATAAATTAAAACATAATTAAATAAATTATCAAAATAAATGTTGATTTTATTTTTCTCTTTTAAATAAATTAAATAAATCATCAAAATAAATTGTAATTCTATTTTTCTCTTCCAAATAAATTAAAACATAATTAAACAAATCATCAAAATAAATAAGTCTAACACCTACTAAGACTTTTTAGCCCCAGACTAAAATAGTTAAAAAATCAAAAAGCCAATCCATATCCCAAATGAAGGCTAAGCTAAATTGTTTTTGGTTTGAATGATCTGTTGGTTTAACGGTGATTTTAGCAATTTTATCAAAATATATTAATTAGATTTGTTTCATTCAAAATAAACTAAAGAACTAAGATTGCTTGATTAGAAATAAACTTTTTGCCTAAACAATTGTTAATTTTTATTTTACAATCCCACTTCGGGAAAAGAAAGAAAAAGTGCATTGTTTCACTTATATAAAGTAAATCTTATAAATAGGATTTTGAGGAAGAAACCTTCTAGAAGCTCCAAACCCTTATTATAAAATTATTGAATTTTTCTTAATTTTAAACAATTAAGAAAATTCCTATATTTACCTGTTATTTTACAATCTCACGAAGGGAGAATAAAAAAAAATGAATTGTTTCACTTACATAAAGTGAAACTTATGCTCCCATTTATATAAATTATTTAATTTTCTTTATTTTAAATAATTAAGAAAATTATCATTGACTAACTTCCATTTAATTTTTATTTTACAATCCCAAATCAGGAAAATAAGGAAAAAGTGAATTGTTTCACTTACATAAAGTAAATATTATACTCTCATTTATATAAGCAAAATGAGATTTTGAGTAAGAAACCCTATAATTAATATCTCATACCAAATATATATATATATATATATATATATTTGATTTTCTTAATTTTAAACAAATAAGAAAATTTTCATTGGTTAGTTTTCATTTAACTTTTATTTTATAATCCCATCCAGAGGTTTTAATTTTAAAAATAATTTTGTATGATATTTTGAAACTCTCATAATATCTCTTCTTAAAAGTATTCTTTTGTAAAATATATAGATATATTTGTGGAAGGGTGAAATTTCTTCTTCACAAGAAAAATGAAATGAGTTGTTCCTTCCTTTACTTTGTAAAAAAGACAAATGCTAAAACGTCAGTGATCATGGTTGGTCGAGAGGACCTTCCAACGATCAAGTTAGAATACTGTTCAAACATATTGTTTGTTTCTTTTTTAAAGAAAATATCTTTTTTGTACCTTCCTTAAACGATTTTCTTCTCTCCTTTTATAGTGTGGATACCTAGTATCTTGATCGTTGAATAGCTGTCTTGATCCACTGGTGTTTTATGCCTTCAGGCATTGGTCAGGCAAGTGGTCCAACTGTCTTGATCTGTTGCTGTATTTTGGATGGCCTAGATTTAGTTCAGATATGGGTTCACATTTTTTATCGTTGGATTTTCCTTATCAGATGCTCAATTTGTTAGAGTCGGTTGATCTCGCATCCTTTCTTCTGTCAATTTCTATTTGATCCAAGGGTTTTCTTTCATATCACGGATTTTTTTTCTTCAGAAAGTGTTCTTGTTTAAATATCTTATCACGTGACTTTGTTTTCTTTACAACTGGATTTCCTTAGGACTTGGGCCTTTATTTGGAACTTTGCCTTGGCCGGGTAAAAATGCTTTGGGTCGTGTCTTAATTTGCTTGGGCTTTGGGCTTGACTTTTTATCCTTCACAATATTGATAATCTCAACATCACTCTTACTGTTTCTTAATACAAAAATTATGAGATAATTATGATAAATTCAAATTTGTATTTAAAACTTATAAATTATGAGATAAATTATTATAATTTTAAATTTATATTGTATCAATTTTAAATTTAAATTAATACATTACTTTCCATATTTATTGACAGTTTAAATTTTAATAAAATAAAATTTAAAAATTTTAATTAATTAATTTTTGTATAAGTTGGTGGTCTTTTGACCTAACTGATTAAGCTAATCTATTTTTGATTTGAATGATTTGTTAGTTTAACCATGATTTTTGCGATTTTGCATACGATGATTCTTTCTTACTTATTAAGTTTTTAAAATTTCTTAAGAATAAATTACAAATACACCCCATGAAGTTTCTTAAAATACGAATTGCTCCATTTTGGTTTGAAAAATTATAAATACCTCACTGTCAGAATTTTTTATTTAACAGAATTAATTGAAAATGTGAAATTTCTATTTGTTCACCTATACAATAATAAAATTATCTGAATTATTAATTGAAATAAAATTTTACCATTATTAAAAACTGTTAATTAATTTGATGATTTATTTAAAAAAAGAATTATTTGTTATGAAATTAGAAACCTTAGGGGACATAATGTAATTTCTAAAATCGCAGGGGATAATTTGTAATTTAAATAAATCTCAGAGGATGTGTTTTTAATTTATCCATTTTTTAATTATTTTTCTTCCAAAAACCAATATGACAATCTTTTAAAATTCATATATTTTTATTCTGAAATAGTGAAATATTAGAACTATGTCATTTTTATAATAAAGCATAATTTTAATTATTAATTGTTAATACAATAATTTTAATCTATCTATACTATATGTTATAAACATTTGAAAGAAAACCTTTAAACTTATATATAAAAAAAAAATTCGAGAGACAAAATATAAAAAAATCAAATAAAATTATCATATTTTTAATAAATAATAATATATTATTTTATTTTGTGCATAGCACAAATAATATGTCAGTATCAATAAATGACAAAAAAAAATTTAGGCGCACAAACACAAAAACTATACACTCAGTCATTCGGCTTGATAACCGGTCAGGCCTTGTCAATCACAACTATCATGATGTCATTTGTAACTGTCATCTTAGTTAAAATTTATCAATCCAAATTGTCGTAATATCTTTCAATCGTTCAAACAATTATCTGATAAAATAATTTCAATATTCGATTCTGTGTTTGGTTCTTTTAATGTAGCATTGCTGAATAAACAATAATAAAGACGTGTAAAATGTGTTTCGGTCTTGTGTGTGGGATCCAAAAATGGGTGTGTGGATACGGATTCATTTTTTCTCGAGAAAGTGAAAGAAAAAGAAAAAAAAACCCTAATATGTAAAGCGTTCAGATCCTCTTGGTGCAGTGATCCTCTAGTGATTCTTTATGGCGCGACACCTGTCTCACTAATGGATTACTCCTTCATAAAAACGACGTCGTTTTGGTGGAGGAACCCCCAAAAAAATATTCTTGGGTTTTCCAGTTTGAATGCGGCGGAGTGAAAGAAAAAAAGAAGAGAGAAAAAGGGCTGGGGAAGAGCTTCACGGCGCCGCTCGCCGCCCTATCGAAGCACTCGGTATTGGAAATGGAAAATCTGTTTCAAAATAACATGAGTTTAGTGATCAAACTCGTATATCATACATAAATTTCTAAATCTACATATACATAACAAAGATCTGCAAATACAAATCAAAGCAAAAAAGGTAATTTTAGATCCACCAAACAGATAATCAATGAAGCACAATCAAATTCAATTCAAGAGTAGTACAATTCAATAGTAGTAGCTTGATAGCTGATTGTTTTTTTTGTTTCAAATTGGGTATTTTTACAGATTCTAAAAAGAAAAAGTAAGAGAAATCACAGACAGAGAGAGTAGAGGAGTTGAAGAGCAGAACTAAACCAAACCTTGAAGAATAGCTTCATCGGCGACGGCGACGGCGACGGCGACGGCTTCGGCTTCCTTCTTCCTCAACCCATCCTCTCTCTCTCTCAAGTTTGTGTTGGTACTATTGAACATCTGAAACTCAGATTTTTTTTTTCTCGTCTCCCTCGAAACGACGTCATTTTGGTAAGGATTGATCTCAGCCTTTGGCTCTATTAGTGGGACAAGTGTCACGCGATAAAGGATCGCGAGGATCACTGCACCAGGATCTGAACGCAATATATAAATCGATCTCTTTTACCGAACGTGATTAAAGAGATTGTGAATTCAGAACCCCATACCGTGTCTGCTGTGATCGGAAACAACTGATCAACCTCTTCGGATTATTAATGGTTATATAGATTACAATTCACAGATCGTAGCAAATCGAATATAATCAATCAACTCTTTTGAACCGGGCGAGGATTGCGAAAATCTGTTGATTATATATACATTCACACAGAAGCATATAAGGAAATTGTGGGCATTTATGTGTTGTTGATGACGAAGGGAGGTTGGATCTGAAACCCTAAAACAATCGGCATGAAACTAGACAAAATCGTGCATCAGTCGGAGGTAATTGCTCGTGATTCTGATCAATATCACCAGATCTTTGTGGCATATTCTTGATTTTCCAATCTTTTCGGACTTCGTTGTGTTTGGACTTGAAAATCTTGTTTCTTACCTAAAGGACCGTGAATTTAGGGGTTTTTTTTTTTTGGTTCTAGAGAATATTACTTTCGCTTTTTCAGGTTCCAAAAGGAGATACTGATACCATTTCTTGGATCTTGAAACTGAGAACTAGCTGAATAATTCATTGCATCGTAATTTTTTCGGAGGAATTTGATTGTATATTTGGGATGTTCACTACTTTCACTTTATATTGATTTCTTGAGGTATTTGAACCAAGTGAATGGTTGAATTCTTGAAAGGCAAGTGAAGCCTCTTTGCAGCTTACTAGTTGTTCAGTATATCATATACATTTTGCTTAAACATGCACGCGAGGCATCGAAATCCTGGAAATGGGTATAGGTCTAGTTCTATGGGAATGGGTGGTGGTGTGTCTGCAGCCTCTCGGATATCACCAGAAAGTTCGATTAGAGGTCATGGCATGTATAATTCAGAGTACCGGAACTATAATCGTGGTTTTGGGCGCGGTCAGCCAAAACCATACCAAGCGCGGCAGCCTCCACCACCACGTAGAGCTGACATTTTTACAGAGGCAGGTCGTCTGGCGACCGAATATTTGGTTTCTAAGGGGTTGCTGCCCCCAAATGTACTTTCAGGGAAGTGGCAAAATGGTAGTTTGAAGAATCAGATAGGGGATTTTCAGGGTTTTAGGCAGCAAGAAGCGGAGGATGGTTTGCAGCTTCCTCTAGAGGGCCGCACTTCGGCTCTTGCTCGTTTGGGGAATGTTTCTGATGCAGCGCCTAGTCGGAGACGGTTTAATGATGAATGTAACCCAACTGGGTCAAGAAGTTTTACGAGAGGTAGGAGTATGGGATCCTTCAAAAATTATGGCTCCGATTGGGGACGAGAAACGGGAAAGAGCGGGTCATGGTCTGATAAAGCTAGGGCTTACCCAAATATGGAAGGTGGGGATGATTCTTTGTCTGGATCTCAGGATGAGCAGCAAGTTGGTAATGGGGTGCAGAAGTCCCACATGAGTGAATTAGCACCTAAAAGTGATGGTGCTGGTGATTTAGATTATGCAGTTGAGAAATTTGAGTTGCAGGATGACATGGGTACAAAGGCAAGTTCTTTTATTGGGAAAGATCTCTCGCCTGAAACTGATGTGGAACTCACTAAAAGGTCTGATGATATGAAACTCCTAAATGAGGAGAATGTTGAGATGAAGGATGCCACTAGAAATGATCAGGTAGTGAAACAAAGTGCCATGGAGGATGTACCCATTCAACATTGGCTTGATAGCTGATTGTTTTTTTTGTTTCAAATTGGGTATTTTTACAGATTCTAAAAAGAAAAAGTAAGTGCCTACCAAAACCCGTTCTTCCTTGACAATGAGGGGTTCAAAAATTGATCCTGTTCCAGTTACTGATGAGGAAAACAATTGTAATATGGGACAAGAGGGAAACAATTATGATATGGGACCTTCAATGGGATCTGAAGTCCCTGTTGAAGATGTTTCAGTTGATGATCGCTCAGTTGATGCACCATCAAATTCAATTCAACCTTCAAAATGCCTTGATTCTGATGTTGTGAATGAGCCACCTCCAATGGGATCTGAAGTCCCCATTGAAGAAGATGTTTCTGTTGATGACTCCTCAGTTGATGTGCCTTCAAATCCAATCCAGATTTCAAAATGCCTTGATTCTGATATTGTGAACGAGCCACCTTTTATTTCTGCAGAGAACGATGGAGAATTAGGTCCCGTGTATGTGGATCAAGGAAAATGCACACGGTCTCAATCTTTTCCAGACAGATCTTTCATGAATGAGCAAGATTCAAGTGAGGTGCTACCTGGGATTGGAAGGTGCAGCTCCATGATTATGGAAAGAGGTGAGAAACGAGCCATTCAACACATTGATATTAGGGACAGGGAGGGAATTAAGAAACCTAGAGAATGGGTTCCCGTGTTAGTTACACAGCCTGATGAAAAGTTGCACCTCTCTAAGTTGAATGGAAAGCAACTGACTTTACAAGAAGGAAGGAGTTCAACTGGTAAGGAAGTGACCTTGTCCACGGAACAAGAGAGATCGGTGGATATATCTCTGTATCAGAGAGGCGGTGTTGGACAATGCGTTGAGTATGCTGAAGAGAAACAACTTTTTCCGGGTTCATTTAAGATTTGTGATCTTAATCTTATGGAAGCGTCTGAAGTGAATGAGAACGTTGATCGTGTTCGTGATCCAATTCTCTTTTTCCCATCTATTCCAGAGAGCAAAAAAGAAGCCACACCAGTGGATGTTGATTTGTCCATAAGTAACAACGGCAATATATCTGGTAAATATGGTAACCGCTGTGCTGATGGGAAAGAGGTTGAGGTGATTGATTTGGAAAGTGATTCTCTACAAGAAGACATGGCCTTCAATAATTCAGATAGGAAGTATGTTTCTCTTATCATATCTTTTCCAATTTAAGTCATCCTCTTTCAAATGCTTGTTTGATGGCTGAAAAAGCAGCTGACTTTCATTTTAAGTTTGATTAGCCTCCCGCTCTCTTTTTAAGTTTGTGATTTATTTAAATCCTGTATTTGTTTGCCTACTGAAGTTCTCTTCTAAAGTTATAACTGTTTGATTATACAGGGCAGAAGCTGTATTTACAGGCTTGGAGAGCTTTCCTAATCATGCACAGAATACGAATGTCATGTCTGATGTTCAGGATGGTTATGGGCTTATGATTTCGGAGTTAATCGGAACTGAAATATCCAATTGTTCTTCTGTACCAGCAGACATTAGTTCTCTGCACAATGAGATGACCCTTAATAATGGAGAGGTACAATTACAATTTACAAACTGCTGGAAACTGGATATTTGTTTAACTGGGATCTTTTCCATGTGTAGTTCTTCACACTGATATTGGTATATATCCGTGTGGCACTGGAAAGGACCAAGTTATTACATATAGTCTTCATTTATATATCTTGAAGTTTCTTAATACAATTCTCAACTACGTTAATTATGGCTGCTGAATAACTTACTTTGTATTGATTTTTTCAGGGGATTCTTGGCGATGATGAATCAATATATATGTCCCTGGGAGAAATACCAATAAGTATGCCAGAAATTTAATTTAATGGTATTATTGTTTTCTTGAAATCTACTGTTTGTGGTTGATCTGCCTAATATGGTGTTTGGACACATGTCTATGCTTTGATTGAAGGGCTGTATAATCTATGATGCTTAGTGTATACTTTTGTTGGTTTTTGGGTCAATGTTTAAAATAAATTAAAAAAAAATCCCAAATAGTACACATTAAAGATTGGGTAAATACCTAACCTTTGTCATAGTGCACAAAGTAGTTACGTAGTATATGCTTTTGTTGGTTTTTGGGTTAATGTTAAAAAAAAAAAAACAACAATGACGCCCAAATAATATACATTAATGTGTGTTTGGGACAGAAAGATTGGGTATACACCTAACTTTTGGCATAGTACACAAAGTGGTTGCCCCAGTACTTGAATACCAACAGTTTAATAAGGTATACTAAACATTGACCCAAGTCTCGGGGTCTCATAATTACAATTGAAACTAGCATCTCACATTTTGGCACCTAGCTAAGACATCTTGGAAACATGCTCCCACAATACCACATTTCAGACTAAGCAGCTTATTACATGCTGTTCCAATTCCTGTTTTTACAATGTTCAAAAAATATTCCTCTTTCCATAGTGATTCAGGTTCCATCTTACATTAATGCCATAGAACATAGGATTGTAATTGCATTACCAGACTAATACGTTCCCTGTGGGGGTTGTCAAACACAGACAATAGATTGTTGTGTGCAATACTTTTCAGAAGAAGAAAAAAAAAAGTGTTCAAGCAGGGATTCGATATTCGGGGTTCATAGTGTGAAATAGTTAAGATGGATGCAACAGTAGTGGAAACGAGATTTGAACTGTGGGTAGCAACTGGGAAATAATATTAAAAGAAACATTAGGTACCACATGAGTGCTGCTAGGCCTGGAGTGGTTGTCCGTGTGAAAACTTAAAATCATGGTTGGAGGCATTTCCTTGAATTGTAATGGATATTAATCAAATCCCTGTTGGGTTACTTGAACTTCAGCCCTAGGGTTCTTCAGTTACTTTGTAAATGTGATATATCTTAGTACATATCGAAGCAGTGGGTTGCTATTGGTTGCCAATTCATAATGCATTTGTGATATAGGTTAAGGATGTGCACTTTTCCAAATTGTGAAATTATGCTTACATGAACAATCAACTAATTTTATTGTCTACTTTCTGGGAATATGGTCAAATATATGAGTTTGTTTGTTTAAAGATTTAGATTTTTTGGGATATCCTTTTTTGTATTCCTTTGCTAAGTGCTTTGAGATGGTGTTGTACAGGTTTTGTGCATGTTTGGGATCAAACAACACAGGAATATGAGAAGCCCTTTTAAACTACCATTTACCCAGCCATTGCTGAAATCTGTCCCGTGGAGTTGGTATGCTTTATATTAATAGTCATGGTTCCTTGGCTGCAATCTTTAGCTCTATATTAGTGCAACATTATTTTGTTTTTCATGTTTGATTTCACTTCTAATGGATTCAAGAAAATGTGATTCCTTTTCAGTGTTTCAAAAACGTTTGAGTGCTTTTTCTTGTTTTTCTTGCTGTTGCTTCTCATAGTCATATGAGAAATTATTAAAATTAGTTGATAAGAGTAGTTGTTAAATGGTTTATTTTGTTCGTTATTTTCTGTTCTTACTGACGATACATAGAAATTGCTGGTAAGAAAAGATCAAAGTAAAATGAAGCAAATTCATAGAACAACGGACCTTCATAAGAAATTACACGGCGATACATAGAAGCAACATTGATTGTGAGAATTAAATACCTTTGTGTGGATGTCAACTAAGTAATTATTATTAAAATTGTTATTTTCAATCTTTAAGCCTTTACAAGAGATCCTCTTGCAGGCGTATACACTAAGTTCTGCATATGTAAAATCCATTCTTCATTTTCAGGCTCTTACAGGCATCTCAATCTAGGTACACTAAGTTCTGAATCGCATATTAGTATTTCTGGATAAAATTTCTAAGTATATAGTGTTATTGTTTTAAATCTTTTAACTCTGCTGAATTTGACTAATCACTATTTGTGGGAAACCATCATGCTTGAAGGGGACAACTTTGACTTTGATCCATCAATGGTGAAAGATTTACTAATTTGTACATAAATAATAGCCAAGCTGATCTGCGCACACACGCATATTGAACAAGCTTTTTTCTTGCATGCTTGGGAAAGCTTTCTAATGGGGTGTAAAAAAAAAACAGTTTAATCTTCTAGCAAAGTGCTCTGTGATGTCTTTCTAGTGGTGGTGGTGCAGCAGCGGTGGCGGCAATGCAGTAATAGTGTGATGGCGGTACAGTAATACTGTGAAGGTGGTCCAGTAATAGTGTGATGATATTAGTAAGATTTTAATTTGAATTTTTTTATTTTTTTACTTTTCAAGAGTCTTATCAAGTTGAACTTGGGTTGACTGTTTTTGGCATAGCATTTTGGAGTTATTTTACAAAAAGATAAAATAGGCTAAAAAGTTAATAAGAAAAAATGTCACATTTAAATTATAATCATTTCATTTTTTCTCTCACAGAAGTCAAAAAATCTATTCAAACGAAATTTTTTAGTCCCAGGCTAAAAGAATCAAAAAGTTAAAAAGTTAACTCACATCGCAAACAGAGGCTTAAGCTTGGTTACTAAACGAGTCTAAAATTTTGTCTATAAGTTAGAGGTTATTTGTTGGTCTAGTGACAGCGTCACGTGGTGCTCCACTTGTATTGTGATTGGTGAAGGGATGTGACTCACGATTTTGATTGAGGAATATGAGGGGTATGGGGATTTATGATTGACTTGGGACATGACTATATGGTGTCCTAGCACTAATCAATAATTTTTTAGTTCATTTAATAAACAAATTGAGTTTGATCTATTCATCGGTAGTTTGGGTTGTTTGTAACCCTATGTGTATAGGAAATTATTCAGTTTATTTAGTTTCAGTTTTATAAATTTAATTTTTTGAAAATTGAGTTTTTATTTTTCATTTTTTTATTTTTAGTGAATATTTTTAAAATTTTAAGAATTTTTTTTAAATTTTTTTAGATGTACCTTATGTAGATATATATAAATAGTAAAATATTTGTGAAAAAATATTTTAAAAAATTAATATATAAAAATTTGAAAAATATATGGAATTTTTGTTTTTTTGTTTGTATTTTTAGTATTTAGTGAATTTTTAAAAGTTTTTTTTTTTTGTAAATATTATAATAAAGTATATTTATGTTAAGTGTGTCTAAAAATAATAAAAATATTAAAAAAAATTCAGTGAAAATAAAAAAAAGGAAATTTTTTTGAAAAGTATATTTTGAAAATTGAAACTAAACATCGATTATTTTTCTTACTCTATATACACAATTGCATCCAAGCAATTGTTATCCAATTGAAAGATAGAAAGCATATGCCTACTCGCTCACTCAGAGCATAAATAGAATTGAATGAAAAATTAAGAGATAATTGATAACTATAGTTTGGTGAAAGGAAAAAATTCATATTTTTACATGGTTTTCTCTTTTATGGGCTGGGAATAATATTTGAAAATTCAAAATATCTTTTTTTTTCTTGTTTATTTAAATTTTGAAAATTTAACCCAACATAAATACTTTTGTTGATAACACAAACATGAGTACTTTAGTAGGAGAAATTTACAATGTGCACTCTTTCAAATGGTGTATAATGGTAAAAAGTTGTGATTTTTTATGATAAATGTTATGATGTTTGTGTATGTTATGACATTTTGTAATAAAGTTATAAATAGTGAATTTATGACGTGTGCCTTAAAGTTAAGAATGATAATGTTATGATATGTTGTGATTTTTGTTCTGGCATTTTTCAATGAAAAAAAGTTACGATTTTTATTGTGAAAAAATTATGACATTTTGAGTTTAAGTTATGAAATTTTATAAAAAAATTATGAAAGACATACCAGATATACTTTTTTGAGAGTGCACATTGTAACATCTCCTATTCAAACGTTATGAAACTCTTTCTTTCTTCAAGAATATTTTTAATAAATTGATATATAATTATAGTATATCATGTATAAATATATAGAGAAAAAAGCATAGAAGCGAATAATATTTTAACAACTCTAATTTTAAACTTCACTCTCTGAAATTGTTGTAAACATTACGGACATCAATATAATTTATCCTTTTCATAAAATACTAGTCTCTCAATGTATAAATTTGTTTGGTTTAGAGTTTTTAAAAATAATTTTTAAAATTTAAAATTAGTATTTGCTTTTGGTTTTTAGTTAACATTTTAAAATTTTAAATTTTTTTTAATTTTTTAGATCTATTTAATTTAAATTTACTTAAAAAATATATAATTTATGATTTTTTTTAAAAAAAATTACTAAATATAAATTCACTTTTTAAAAAACTGAAACTTTTTATTTTTTTATTTTTTTATTTTTACTGAAAAAAATATATAATTTATGATTTTTTTAAAAAAAAAATTCACTAAATACCAAAAATTAAAAAAATGAAAATTCAATATATTTTTTGTATTCTTGTGTTTGTAATAATTTTTTAAAATATTTTTTTTACAAATATTTTACAGTTTAGATACATCGAAGTAAGATGCATTTGAAAAATTAAAAAAATATTAAAAAGTTTGAAAATATTCACTAAAAATAAAAAAATTATGAAAACAAAAAACTCAATTTTTGAAAAATTGAATTCAATAAATTGAAACAAAACACAATCCTATTTCAAAACATCTATAATTCTTAGATATATCTCAATTTTTTTTTGTATTTTAAGATTTTTACATAATCTTTTGAGATAAGAAAAAATATTTGGGACCAGACAATTATTGAACCGTGCGAATTGATAATATATTTTTAATTCTTGATTTTGATGACGTGGTAATATGAAAATAGTATGAGATAAAAGATGGACCAAAAATTTTGCCAGACGATCTGTGCTCTTTAATATCAATCAAATCCTCAATATTTCTGTTTTTGTTTTGGTTTTTTTTTTCTTTTTTATTTTGAACAAACTTTTGGCTATATGTTTGATTCCACCAAATGCAAGCACCAATTGTTTAGTTTATGTGCTGAGATGGAGCAATTTTAGGAGGGTTGGCCAAAGAATATGCATAACCAAACCATAGGCATTTCAAGCTCCAACCTTGCAAAAATGCTTGGTGTGCAATTGTATGCAATTTCATATAAAATTATGTATGTTTTCGTTAATTTATATAAGTGATTATACAAATAAACATCAGTTGAATATAAATTTACGTAAATTCATAAAAACACATAATTACGCAAATTGATATTGAACTTACGCATTTTTATGAGACTATTTATGTAAATTAGTGAAAACTTATGTAATTTTATATAGGATTACATATGATGTGCAATACACACTCAATATTTTTCCCTAACAATGTTAAGAAACCTTAAAAAAAAACTTTGGTATGGTAGCACCCAATATATAAAAGCACAAAAATGACATGCTCAATCAATATATATATCTATCGTTCAAAAAAATCATATATATATATTTATAGAGTCGTGCTATTAGCATTTCATAAATTATTTTAGATCCTCCATTTTTTTGGACTCCCACTTATAAATTTTGAAACCCTTGAAAAAAAAAAAAAAAATTTGCCACCCAAAATAATATCAAAATTATCCTTCTACCCATTGAATGCACACCCCCTAGACCCCCAAAAAAACCTTCCTTCCAAAAAATCCTAACAAAACCCATTAAGAAGAAAAAATGTCTCATCCTTTTCAAAACCCACGAAAAAGAATAAGAAGAAGAAGAATAATAATGTCTCTATCAATTTAACCAACTTCGCATTTCGTGGTGGGAGGGAAAAATTATTGACAAGTCTTGGGCCCACGTGGTCATTACCACACCAATTATAATTTATCATGGTCCAGCTTGTCTCTTGAGATCAAGACTGACCCGTCCAATTCAGTTCATGAGATTTATTTTTTGGGTTCGTTTTGATAGTCCGAATCGTTTATGTGTAGAACTCGTCGAGTACTATATCTTGTAAAAAATCATATTGATCGGATATCAATAGTTATGTGATCAAATCAGTTTTGTATAAAAAAAAATGGACGGTGAAATAATTAACTGTTGATAAAAAAACTGTTTTGTTCACATAGCTATTGATATCCGATCAACGTGATTTTTTACAAACATATAGTACTCGATGAGTTCTACATATTGAACGGTTCGAATTATCAAAACGGGACCCGTGATGGACCCCTACGGGCCCAACAATACGATCCAGTCCGATCTTAAACTGGACCAAAGCCACTGCCATTTATCATATGGTTCTTATTTTCTAATCATTTAATACAAATTAATAGGCCTCATGCACTTATGACTTTTTCCGTCTTAAAATAATAGTCTCTTTTAAAAAATTTATTTTTTTAGTAATATAATTATTATCCTTTAAAAATATTAATTTTCTAAAATTACTTTTAGATAATACATTTTTTTGAGAATATTAATTGTCATAATTTTACTTTTCGTGTTATTAATGAATTTAAAATAATGACAAAATGAAAAATTCATATTTTTTTAGTTTTTCATTTTTAAAAATGGACTAATATTTAAGACAATAAAAAATAGAATAAGAGATTTATTTTGAGATG